TGCTTTAGAAACAAGCCTTCCCCAGTCTATCCTTTATAAATTCCTGATCTAGAATTCATGAACATAATTAAATGGTGGTGGTCTGATACCACTAAATTTGGGGTGGTTTGTTCCATAGTAGATTACCAGAACAGTAAAGGGGAAAGGTCAGATAAAAATAGTGAATTACCTTTGGATAGAAAGTTAAGTTTTGAGGTTTGTGTGTGTGTGTGTGTGTGTGTGTGTATGTGTGTGTTTCCTACTGAAGAGAGTAAATGGTGTGTGCAAACATTATTCTGCCAGGCTCATCTAAGAAGCTAGTGTCCATCCACATTAATTCGCTAGACTCTAGATACTCATTAACTTCCCAGAAATGTCATCCCAATGAACCACTTGAGATTTCATGCTTAAAATTCTGGGTTCTTGGTATATTTCCATATTGGTCACTTGGAGGAACTGGCAGTTTTAAACCAGCTAAGGCCAAACTATACTTGACATTATAGGAAAATATATATCCCAGGTGATAGTATTACAGTGAGATATTAAAGTTTTTGATGCTGCCAATTTTTTTCTTTTATTTTTATCCTGTTTTTAAAAACTGAGAATTGGTATAACTAGAAATACCAGCCAGTGATCAGCAATTCAGAGTGAGCTGCTTATTAAAAATCTGGATGTTCAAAGAAACCCACTCATAAAGCTCCTCATTCTGTAGCTCAGAGTGGGGAATAGGTGTGCCCAAGGTCTTAGGCTGGGACTGTGGGCTCCTGACTCCCCATACAATGCTCTTTCTTCTTAATAAATGTTTTTTAGCCTATAGTCTGGTTCAAAGATGCACCTCCCAGGTGCTGTACCAGGTCCTGTGAACCAGCTGAAATGGTGCACACCATTTTGTTTGTGTGTGCTTTTGTACTCCTTTCGGGAGAGAATCCACACTTTCCATCTAATTCTTATAGAGATCAGTGACCCAGAAAAGCATAAATCCACTGTACTTGATTTAATACTGTCCTTTAAAAATTAACCAGAGTAAGTTAAATCTTGTACTCCCTCATATCTATACCAGATGCTTCTAGGGAAATTCTTTCGTTGTTTAAGATTAGTGCATAATGGGTGCATCTTTCAGATAGTTAGGCATAGTTGGAACACCCAGCAACCAACACATCTTACTATCTATTTAGAGAAATTTGGCAAGCACTCACACGTTAAAATCAATTTTGTGATTCAAAAGCTACAAACAACACAGGGCTGATTTGGTGTTATTTTTCCTTATAGTCATTGCAGTAGTTAAGGCAGAGAAGACTGGGATCTTTACAGAGAAAGTCTAAAGGTGCAGAGGCGAATTTAACAGAGGTTTCTTTTTCACACACACCCCACCATCCCCTGTGGGTGTTCAGTGGCCTTTTTATATGGCATTTCAGGAACCTGGGCTCCTTTTATCTTGGAATTCTGCCATCTTCTTAGATCTTGGAGTTCTTTACTTTTAGCCAGCAGACAGGAAAAAAGGGAGAATTGAGGACAGAGTAAGAAGTTTTTATGGAAGTTGAGTTCTTCATTTCTGTCCATATCCCACTGGCCAGATAAAAGTCACATGGCACCATCCTGATACAAGGGCAGTGGTGGTGGTGCTTCCTAACAACACTCTACATTAAAGAAGAGGAGCACAAATCTTGGTCAGGCAACTGCTCCTGTCTGCCACAATCAGAGTGAGCATTTTAAGGATCCTATATCTCAGAAATGGATGAAGTGTCTGAGATGGAACTTTCAGACAGTCCATGATATCTATATGTGGATTACGATCTTCGCTTACCTGACACTTTAGGAATTAAGGTGATCCTCAGTAACTGTGAAGTCAGGCTTGATTGAAATATAGTGTAGTTAAGATAGGAAAATTGCAATTTTCAGATAATTGGAGATTTTATTTTATTTTACTTTTTATTTTTATTTTTATTTTATTATTTTTTTTTTAAGATTTTATTTATTTGACATAGAGAGAGAGAGTACAGACAGGGGAAGCAGCAGAGGCAGAGGGAGAAGCAGGCTCCCCAGTGAGCAGGGAGCCCAACTCGGGGCTTGATCCCAGGACTCCAGGATCATGACCTGAGCTGAAGGCAGATGCTTAACCAACTGAGCCATCCAGGCGCCCCTATTTTATTTTACTTTTTAAAGAGTGACACAGAGTCTAAGGGCCCAATCTGGATTTTGAGCTGGTTTATACTATAATGGAACTTGTATAATTATAGCAAAGAAAACTCTCTTTCCATTTTTGCAAAACTATTGCTACAAGTTTAGCTTTGTTATTGCATGTTTGCCCTTAAAAATGTTTTTGTGCTTGACAGAAATTATAATATTGCATGTCTTTACCCTATGGTTTTTATTTTCTTTTTGTGTTACTTAGTTGTTTCTTAATTATTTTTGCTTGTTTTATGGAAGCTTAACCTCTCTCCTCGAATTATTATTCTGGAACTGGGTTTGGCTATGGTATGAAATTACCATGAATTCGATTCTCAGCTTTTTTCATTAAGATGCTTTTGATGCCACGTGGTATCAGAACTGGTGACATGTGAAATGTATTTCTTCTACCACCTCCCGTGGAGCAACTCTGACAAATTACTTACTTTCCATTTTTTTAATCTATGAAATTTTATTGGTCCAGTGAACTCCAACAATCTTGGAAGTATGCTGAAGGCTAAGTAGCTTTCTTTGGAAGTTGAAGTCCTTATGTGATTGACCTGGTGGTGTGCTGGAACTGGATTGTACTGGTGGATGAAAGTAAAAATTGGAAACTTGTTCTAACAGCTAATGTTACAAATTAAATATACAAACTCATGATTAAAGACATTGTATTACAACTCATGATTTACTAATTGTTTTGGTTACATTTTACTATTATTGATGTTTTTGAGGTTATTACATTTATTTTGTCCATATGATAGAAATACTCTGCAATGGGGTGCTATTGGGCCTTTCTTCCCAACTCTTTATTCAGTGATACCACTTAGGTAGCTTGAAGTTGGCCATGGTGGGTGCTGGTTGTTAAATGTTTACCAGTAGCCCACTGGACTCACCACACAGGTCAGATTCTTCACAGGGTAGTGTTGAGGCTTGAAAGAGACATGTTGTGTCAGGGACATTGTAGATGCTCAATAAAGGGAAACTGCTTTTAAGGTCATTCCTTCAGAAAATCTCTGCCATTTCCACGGAGCCTAAAAATGACCAGTGTTGCCAGATTATTTTAGTCCAGGACCTCCAAAAGGACAGGAGATCTCCAAAAGGACAGAAGTTCATAAAATGGGTTCAGAAATACTTGACTCCATCTCTTCCAAGGATATGTTAGGGAAAAAAAAATGTTTTAAATGATGTGAGACAACTTTGAATAATTAGGAAGCACTAATTCAAATTCTTAAATTGGAGATTGAGAAGTAGTTTTGCACAGGTTTGCTGGTTTGTGCCAGTGATGACTTTGGGAAGAAAATATGCTATATTCCGGAGGCATAGTGGTGATTCTCCAGTGCTGGTCCCTAGACAGTGGTCCATGACTAAGTCTTCTTGGGCTGCTGGCAAATAAGAACAATGTTAATAGAATATGGGCAAAAGATTGTTTGTTTTATTATCCTGAGAAGAATTATCTTTTACTGTGGGACCTGTTTTTCTGGCAATATTTGCATTAATATGTTCTGTCTTTATGAAATGGTGATGGTAGTAGATGGTAGTGGTGGAATGAGAGTTAATTTTAATACCTTTACTTGAAAAGAGCTAGAAGTCATGTTGGTTCTCTTCTCTAAAGCCCTAGGTGGTTTTTTTTTTTTTTAAAGATTTTATTTATTTATTTGACAGAGAGACATAGCGAGAGAGGGAACACAAGCAGGGGGAGTGAGAGAGGGAGAAGCAGGCTTCCCGCTGAGCAGGGAGCCCGATGCGGGGCTTGATCCCAGGACCCTGGGATCATGACCTGAGCCGAAGGCAGACGCTTAACGACTGAGCCAATGTTTGTGACCTGTAGAGTGTAAAGGGCTAGAACAACTTCATGTTGAATTTAAATGATTTTTCTGCAAGCAAATAAGTCTTATAGAATTATTCCATAGGTGACTTGTATCAGCAGCATGGACATATGTGAGTACTTTTGTTTATTCCTCTCATTGGCTTTCATAAAACTGTTGCTAATTATTATTAAGAATATCAAAGCATAAACGAAAAAAATCTTATCTTTATCTCTTCTTCTGCCAAGGAAACTTTCAAAGTCTTGACTAACTGTTCTTTGGAGAAGAGGCATGGAAAAAGTGAGCCTTCCAGCTTAAAATTGTAATTATGTTGTTTATGTTTTACCTAAAGTTTTATTTGTCATATTCCAGAAGTTCTTGGGTCTGCACCTGGCTTTAACCATTTTTGTCTCCTTGCTAACACTGTTGATATTAATGCCAATTTTAATTTCTTGGCATCATGAGTGCATAAACATACCACACACAGATGTGATTTTGAATAAGGACCGAAACTGTAAATTAGGAAGCAAGATATTAACAGGGTTTCATCACATCAATTCACTCCAAAAAGTGACACAGTGGTACTGAAAAGGTCTTAAATTGCTCATTTCAAACCTACCTCAGTAGCAAAATGCCAAGCATGCAGTGGATTTGCAACCACGTTAGTCATTTTCTTTCCTCCGTTTCCATGCTGTGTTTGTATTGGGAGCACAGAGTAATGTAATTTAGTAAATTATGATTTGATGGCTGGGCAACAGCCCCAGTGTTGAACAGTATTTGGACCATGATTACTTGCTGGCTTTGTCACAGTTGACATTAATTATTGATGTTAGTTTCAGAAATAGCGCATGTGCCAGGAGCTTTTCACCGGAACGCAGCCTCCAGGCAGGAGGGATGCTAAAGAGGGTGGGGGAAGAGTCACCTGTGGCTTGTTTATGTCTGTGCACAGCGAGCCTGCACCCAGTGGGCTGTGTGGTACCTGTGTAAAGGTCATGGTGTAACGGAAGGATGAACCGTCAGGCTTATTTCTATCGTGTTCCTCCCCAGGAATTGCACCGAAGGAGCCAACTTCAGCCGGAGCCAGCAAAGACGAAGGCTCTCCAGACTGTCATTGAAATGAAGGTAGGAGCTGTTCACATTTGTCAAAAACAGCTGTGCCTCCGGAGTTTGTTCTAACTTGATGGTGCCTAACATAAACACTTGAAATGAACCTTGTGTTTTTCTCTAGGCACCCTGGTGGGTGCTTTCCTTCTGGATCTTTTTGCTTTCTTGGGTACATTTAATTTATTGGCCCTTTAATTAGGGTGTCTATTCTGGGCAAAACAATAAAGGGCTCAAGTATCCCTTGGCTGAAAGGAGCTGGGTTCATTTCCAGAGCATGGCCAATGCTTTCAACCCTAGGGGAGGTTTTGTGTGTGCTTTAAAAGGAAATTTCTAAAGCTAGAATAATTTTTTTCCCCTTTTCATTCACATTACAATGAAAAGACACTTTAAAAAAACTAAGACTTGGCAAAGAGAAGTTGCCTTATATGCAATGAAGTCGTTAAATAATTAAAATTATGCTATCAGTAAAATGTACTTTTCAAAGAATAATACTTTCCCAGGACTCCAGTATTTTCTTCTAACCAAGTCTGGAAGTAATAATAACTTATTAAATACTCATAAGGTATCTTAGTTAGCTGTGGAAGCATAGAGATATGTTATTTAAAAGAACTGAAGATTCTCCTGTATAGATTTAGGGCATTTAAAGAATAATGAAATAAATGATGATGGCTAAGCCATGATGTATGATTAAGAAATAGATATAAATGAAACCCAATTGCTTTGTCAGTATCTAGAAATGTAAATGAAGGTTTTTTTACTTTCAGTGTTTACCAGAAGGAAGCAAATAGTGTTTAAGAGTAAATAATTCTTGATTTAAATTGTTTCATGAAGAAAAAAAAATTTATAACAATGATGTTTGCAATCTGGTATTCCAGAGTTTAACACTTGAGAGTTTGCTGATCACCATTAGCCTACAAGAGAATTCTGTAGCTTGCTGATAGGATTGGATAATGATTTTCTGTCTTTTTTATAGCACATGATTTTGAACTGTCTGCCAAAAAATTCCTAAGTCCTGGGGATAAAGAAACTAACACCAGCCATTGAATATTTGGCATGTACAATTCTGACTTGGGATTTTTTTTTTTGTCCATGACAGTGTCTTCATCCAAGTGAATTTTTGTGGAAATAATGTAGAGCATTTGCTTTTAAAACTCTGTGTCCCCCAAATGAGGTTATATGAGTTGAGGCACTCTTAATGCATTTGCAGCAAATTGGTTTGAAAAATATTGTCAAAGGAACCAAACGCCAATGAGATTGAATAATCCTTGCTAATCTTGCCTCATCAATTCATTTTGAATTTATGTAATTTGAACTTGTTCTGAAAAGAAACATCATTCTACACTTGTGGGGGAGTGTTTCATAACAGATTTCTTCCTTACTTTATACTGGAACCGAACTTGAAACTTGGTTAGGGTTCTTTTTTTCTTTTCTTTCTTCCTTTCTTTCTTAAGAAAAGAAAAAAGACAAAAGATTTTATTTTGTTTTACTTTTTTGCAGAGTCGGTCTTTCTTCCACCCACCTCCATGCCTACCACCCCAGTCTCTGGCAGTTACTAATGGGAAAGAGGATATATATAAAATCAATTTCTAAACTATCCTTTCTTTTAAAAAAAAGAGTAAGAGTGAATTCCAGGAATCTTTGGAGAAATCATGAATGACATCTCTTCCAGAGCAGTGGGCATATTTCATGTAAAGGTCTCTATTCAAAGACAATTAATAGCTTTTGATGACTTTTAGAAGTAAAAAATCTGTTTACTTATGACTGTGTCTAGTATCATATGTTTTATTAGAAAACAAAAAATTGATAAATATACTCATTTAGACTATCTATATGGGAAGGCATAAAACATGACTTTTAGGGCAAATTTCACATCCATATATTATCAGTAAATTGAGTCTGGAGTTTTTCTTTTATGGATGCCAATATGTTGATTTATAGAACATATTTTTAGGACAAATGATGATCAATATACTTGTCAGGGAATTGAGCCTGGAGTTTTTCTGTTGTTTTTTGGATGCGTATTAATTTACAAACCACTGCCTTCTGTTTTGTCAGTGGAGAATTCTGGGTCCCATTAGCATCTATACTTAGCATGTAAAAATTGAGTTATGGAGGCAGATGGTAGAGGGTCATCTTTTCAGCTGTGTGTGTAGCTTGTGACAGAGGCTATGATCTCCTTCAATTTTATACATTACATTCCTGCGTATTTGGAAGGAATATTAGAAACCCATATTTTACAAGCTTTAGGGTTGACTCTCAAATACAACTGACTCTTAAACCTGGTGGGTTGAACTTAAGACATCTTTGTGTTTTAACTTAAACACCTTTGGGTAAACATTGGTGTCATCTGGTACCTTGGCAAAATCTAAAGTTGAAAGGAACTTTTCTGGAGAAAATTTGACCTATAGTTTCAGGGAGATGACATGAATTAAGGGCTAATAAATTACCTCTACTAGTCCCTTGCTTCTGAGAGAAACTGAGGGTGAACTTCTGACCCCTCATCTTCTCCGCACATAAACTTTGTATCAACTTGAGAAAGTTGTTTATTGTGAAAATCTGTGAAATCTTGCCCTAATTCAAGCAGTTTAAGAAACTTGGTCTGGTAGTTTCAGTAGATCTCTATATGCACCTCTGGGCTTATACATTGTGAAAATATGTCTCTGTGGGCAAGCACTGGGGAGGGCCATCTGCCAGCCTCAAAGTGGGAGTAATTCTCTTGCAGCCATCACATCTACTTCAGCCAGTTGAGCCAGGGGGGTTAAGGTCAACTGAATGAAAATGAAAGGAAGCAAAGTGAATGAAGTTATTTGTGATTTATCTTCTTGCAGGAAGTTCCAAATTTTAATTTTGATCCCTGTTTGCTCTGGCAGGTATGTTTCAGGTTTGTACTAGAACATTGTGTGTATTTCTCACAGAAATTAGTTTTCTTGTAGATGGTGCAATGCTCCTCCTTTTCTTGCTTTTGTGTCTAAAGATTCTTTACTAAGCTCTTCTTTTCCACTTTTATGGAGAACTGTCAATAAAAATGGTAGTTAAAAAGCTTTTCCTTCTTTTTTTTAATGTTAATTCCTTTGAAAGAAAGTTTTAACCTACTTTTATTATAAATTTGACATGACATAAGGATGATGTCTAAAAATTTCACTTTCTTAGGTTCATTCATAAAGTTGTACCCAGTTTCTTTTTAAGAAAATGAATTACAATAACAGTACTTGTCAGATAATCTTAAAATTGTTTTCTTTGTTAGTTAAATCTTCCAAGTGAATAAAGCCAAAAGGAAATTTATTGGCTCACTCAGCTGGAGAAAAACAGAGTATTGCTTCAGGCACAGCTTGATACAGGGACTCAAAAGATGTTAATGATCCAATTTTCTCTCATTCCATTCTATAGTTTGGTTTCCTTCATGTAAACTCTAATTTCGGACAGCCCCTGTCTGCCCATCTGAGCAAGATGGCTATAACAGCTCTAATAATCACAAAAAGAAGGGATAGGAAGAATGTTGTGTTTTAAGAAAATGCAAAAATGAAACCAACCCCAGAACAGTGATAATTACTGGGATGGGGTGTAAACTTCACTCTAAACAGCCCAGGCTAAAAAGGAAATACACAAAGTTTCCTAGTTCTCATTTGCTTAATAAATTAAATGGCACTCATTCATCAAGAAAAACAAACTTTATGCTAGCACTAACTTCAGCAGAATTTATCAAATGGGACCTAAGTGAGTGCCATAAGGGATTTAATCAAAGTTGCAGAAAATGTGTTTGATTTGGGGAACTTGTTCTCTAAAGTGGATTAAGAAGCTTGGAGCATAATGTCACTAGGTGACAGTATTTCTGTGGTAACTAAAGTGAGGATTGTAGGTGTTTAGCTTTCTAGTCACATGACCAGCCAGGCACTTGTGTGTCCTGAGTGGTTCTTCTTGAGTAACATTTGTTCCCACCAGGCTTTTCTATGGGAAATGAGCATTGAGCAATTCAACATTGAGCTTGACTAAGTTGCTGATTTGTAGTTGTGCTGTTTATCAAAGAATATGACTTTGCATTCAGGTGCTAAACTCCGGTGGTGAGGTTGATCTTTTGTTATTAAAACTAAAGACCAAGGCTTGTCTTCGTGCTCAGGCAGATGACTGCTGTTCTTCTGCACGGCGTGGAGCTGAGCTGCAGTTGGGTACAGTTTCTCTTAAAAGATATGCTGATATTTGGTCAAATTCAGCCAATTCAGTTCCACTAGGCATGGAAAGGATGCACTGGAACATGGAGAAGGTAAGAGCCACAGTGGCAACTTTTCCCAAGGTCACACATCTAGGAAAGGAGGGATTTCAAGTTCAAACCTAGGCCACCAAATGCATCCCAGTTCCCAGTATGAACTTAATTTAAGTACTGGGATCTAGTCAAGAACACCACTTTGTGGCTGAAATGTTTTCTTTGGCTTTAAAGCCTCCCTATATTTCTTCCATTTTTTAAACTCTTACCTGTTTGAGTCTAAATACTGCACTCTACTTAGAATGATTTCTTCTCTTAGGATGAGATGCTCATAGGAAATTTGTTTCAAGCCTAGTTTTTCTAGCCAAGCCATTATGATGGCTTTTAGGCCTTAAAACTATGCCCCACTCTGTTTGTGGCTATTAAAAAGAATAAGAGCAATAACAATAAAAATACCACCTTGCACCATTGGTGACAACCCACAGCCCGAATACCACTAACCAGGCATGGGAAGCCAGACGCAGGGCACCTGACATATAATAACCTGTGAGTAGGCATAATTAGCTCCATTTCATAGATGAGGAAGTTGTGTTTTAGGGAGGATAAGCAGTCTGCTAAGGTCCTACATCTAGGCAGTTGGCAACTGAGATCTGAATACAGGTTTTTCCTCCAGAGTTCCTATACTTTCTATTCCTTCAGTCTGCTTTTACTGAAGACAGCCCATAGGTTCAACTGGTTTTTCTTTCAAAACTTTTTATTTTGGAAATTATGCACTGGAGTTTGTATCATAGAACAGGTTGAGGCAGCTCTTGAGAGCTGG